AAAGCCCCAATATGGGGGCTTATCTTAGGCGAAGGGAATTTATCTTAAACTCAACCATTTTTTGTTCAAACAGCCGTTTATTTTCTAACTCAGGTAACCATATAGCGGTGATTTTCCCATACCTACCTAAGAACTCAATATACCAAATTTACAGAAGTAAGAGTAGATGGTTGGGGCCACAGAGAACCTAAAGCAAGGACATGTGCAATACCCCGGTATAACCAATGGCCAAGCATTTTACAAAGTAGGTAACATAATTTGCTCACCAACAAGAATGACGAAAAAAGTCGAGCGTAAGGATGGATCTCGTAGCTTCGAAATTCGGATTCTGGGCAGGGAACCCTTCAACACCACTGAAAAATTCCTCATATGACTCCCTCTACAAATGATGGAATAGGCACCATGGGTGTGTTAAAGATGGAGGTGGGAAGTACGGAACGTCAGATAAATGGGGGATCTGAAAACCCAAAGGAATTTGATTTCTCATTCAATAGAAGTTGAGAGGGAAATGCAGGAAACCAACACACGAGTACTAATAGTACCACTATATCCTGCGTCAGGGAGAGAATAGCCGGGATGTAGCTCTAATGGAGAAGTAGAGTAAGTAGGACCAGTGAGAATCACCCAAACTGCCTGAAAAGCGCTTTGTCAAAGTTGGCCGTGCGTAGCGGAACAAAATGGCCGACAACAAAGCCAAGGAAAAAGGGCTGATGGGCGAAAAATTCGCAGGACCTATGAGTATTTTTAGCTGAACAGATGCCGCCGTAACAAATGGTTAAATTGGATTTGTGCATGCAAATTAATCCCTAAAATTCTGGCAATAACTGTGCCCCCAAACCCCTACTAAATTTCCTTGACTTTGTGGTTGAATTATCCTCTTAAATCATCAATGTTCAACCCGCATGCACAACCATATGTATATTAATACCTTTTGGGGGAGGGGGTCTTTTGATGCCCAAACATGAGAATATGTATTAAATAGGTCCACAAGTGTTTTGGGCAAATAGTACCGAGACAATCTGATGGAGATGAAGGCACGATTCAATTTTTGGAAAAATTATATTCTATTAAATTATGGATTTAATAAGACATTGAATTTAATTGTTTTTATTTAGGCTAATTGCTTTCATTTAGTCTCAATAATAATCATTTTACTTTGGGAGACTACTCCTATTTTTATCGAAGATATGTAATTTAGTAGGGACATAATAAAAAGTAATTTTTCTTTCAAAAATACTAAAGATTGTGTATCTTTTTACTCCCCTCATCGGCTACATCACAATTATAACTATATTTTTAGTGGACAAAAGCAATGGTGAATTCACTATTGTCTACAACATTACACAGTAAGCATTTGCTTTAGATAAAGGAAATTCGGAATTCTCCAATTTGGTTCAAGCTTCCACAGTCACCAGCACCCACAAACAGTTCAAAACAGTAAAAGGTCAAGGCAAATTTTCATGCCCTTGTTTGTCTAGCCATTCACGCCAAAGTTGACAGTGGGATAATTTCACGTGATGGCCGTCGATTGCCCACCAACATAAGAGCAGGACTCCACCAATTCGGTATCAGAAAATAGTGCATCATAGCAGCGATCACAACACATTTCTAACTTTCACAATACCACAAAAATATCAAAATGGTTAACAAATTGTTAATATTATAATAAATGAATCCATTTGTTGGCAGCTCATATTATGTTGTCCAACGAACAGATCTAGCAAGCGGCAACGCCAAATTCTAAAATCAGATCACAAATAGGATAACTCTTACACTGATTGGTTACACGCTATAATATCCGCTGGCACACATTCTTCTATAAATACATGTGATCAGCCAACGGCCACAATGTTAACCGGTCTTCTATAACCAATACATAGCATCATTGTGTCAAGAAAAAAACGTGAAACAAATCTTTTTTCCCCTTTTTTTTTTTTTTTTTTTTTGGGTGTATTATAAAGTTTCTTTAATACATGTAAGTGATTGGCCATCGGCCAAGAAGCTAATCTGCTTTAACCAATATGTGGTATGATTGTGTCTATGGAAAATATTATAAATGTTTTTGGCTTTCCATTCCCATTTTTCCTTATTTTGTTTTTTAAAAATATATTTACAAATTTATTTTTTGGGGGGAATTAAATTTTTTGTATTATAAATAAAATTATTCCTTACAAAATTATGCATATTGATATATTTTTTATTTATTTGGAAAAATGAATTCAATGGATATACATAAATATAAACAAATAAGAAAAAATTTTGGGTTCCTGAATTGGCCAAAAATTTGTGTCGGCCAATAGTATAAGGTTAAACAAAATGACACCTTTGCATAAAGAAATTCATCTTTTTACAACTTGTTGCAATCTGGGTTTGTTTATTTAATGTTTTGATTTAAAATTTTTATTTTGATGTGACGTATAGAAAATTGTATTAGTAATATAAAAAAAAATATTTATATTAAATATTAACTTTTATGAAATAATAATATATATATATATATATAATTGTGTAAGAAAAAAGTTTGTGAGAACAAGCCCCTTATAAAACAACCCATACAAGCGGCCTTTACTAACAATAAGGATAGAAATGAAAAGATATGTACCCCAAGATATGTATAGGAGTTTAGATATATGACCATTTTATAGAATAATAATAACAATAATAATAAGTGAATGAAAGTTCCATTGTGAGGGTTTTTTTGTACATTTGAGCATTGAATATTAAATTTTGAATTGATATAATTATTTTCTTTTATGTTGATATTATGTTATGAATGTAACATAAAATTTTAATACTCCTTTTATCCCATCAAATTTTTTCAATTTTTCTTAGTTGTCCTATTCAATTATATCACCTTCTGTAAAAAGAAAAGAATTAGCAAATCTAATGGCAATTAAATTTTAACGGATTAAAATTAATCTATTTAGGATATATTTATTTATTTTTTTGGATTGAAGTATTTTTGTATTAGGTATGTAAAAATATGTCGGTAAATAAATAATACTAATATTTTATATTGAATTATTAACTTTTTATGCGTATGTAAAATATAGATTATATATTATATGAATGTGTATTATATTGTGTTTTTTTATACTTCCTCCATCCCACAACAAATAATCTATTTTTCCATTTTCATCTGTCCAATAACAAAATATCGATTTCATTTTTTTAATAACTATAATATATGCATAACATTACAAATACTCTTACAACTTACAATATATTACTCAAATATTATTATCTCTATATAACACAATATTAATAAGGTTATTTTAGTCATTTAAATTTTATTTCTACTATATATCAATATAATACTAATATACCTTAAACTCCGTACAAAAAACAAACGGATGTCTGCTTATGGGACGAGAGAGTAATATTAATTGTGAAATATATTGAAATGTTTTTGTTGGGTGAACATATATCCAGATTTTATACCCAAAATTATTTCAATAAATTATTTTTAGTTAGAGGTAAAGATATCGAATTGTAAAAAATATCATGATGCCAAAAATTTCAAACTTTCGGTATACTAAAAATTTCAATCTTGTATGATATTGTATCGAACTTTTTCGATACGTTATCAGTATATAGTTTGACATTATCAATATATATCGAAATACCGAAATTATTTTGGTATATAACAGAAATAACATATATTATATTGATATTTTTATATTCAATATGTCGCTATATATCGATAATTCGATATATTGATACAAAAATTATATATTTTTCTTAAATTATAGAATTATTTTTTCTTTAATATTTCAGTATGAAATACTAGTATATACCGATTTTTAGTATACTAATTGTTTGATATGATATCGGTAAGTTTTTTAGCATAATGAAAGTTTCGGAACAATATATAATATGACTTTGCATTTCTCTATGTTATACTGAATCATCCATATTTTTAGTTATATTTAATTAGAATAAACAAAAATGGATATACTTAAGCATAATACAAAAATCAGACTAAATCATGGCTGGACCGAGCTGAACTTTTTTAAAAAATAAAAGTAAAAATAAAAAAAAAATATTTTAAACAATACATTTCGTAATTAACAAACCCTAATGACATGTTTGGTTAAGATTTTGGATTTTGGATTCATATTTTAAATACTCCTCCCGTCCCGCAAGAAGGTTGTCACAGTCATTTTGTGTGTTCATATTTGAATATTAATTATTATATCAATAAGGATATAAATCAAGAGAAAAAAAGCAAAAATACATTTATTAGTCTCTTATAATACAAATATAATGATATTTGTCGAGTAAATTATTCAAATATAAAAATATTTTTAATGTTAAGTACAATTACGCAAAAATCAAATAGCAACCTTCTTGTAGGACGGGGAGTAATATTTTTTAAAATTAAAATAATTATTTAATGTAATATAATAGATAGTGATGTTCTATTGAATTTATAATATAAAAATAAAAATAAATAATTTTATTTAATATTATTAAAAAGAAGAAGGGAGTGAATTGTATAAAATTTGGAAAAAAAATTATATTTTAAAATAATTAAATTAATAATTTATTACAAGTAATTCAAATTTATATTTTTATTTTTTTATATTTAGTATTGTTACATATACTTACACTAATAATCGGCTGAAATAAAAAATAAATTATTTATAATAAAATTAATTTATATCTATTTTATCCATAAAATATTAAATAAAATAAAAATATATTCTGCTATTATAATTATGATATTAATTTAATTAAAAGAAGTTACTTTTTAATAAACTTTTTCTCAAATTTGATTCAAAAGAAATATGACATAATAGAATGAGAGGAATAAAATATAATATAGTAATGAATAAATAAATATTAAAAATCTAGAGTTTTTCTCCACTAAAATTTTTCAAATTTTGACTATATATTTATTTATTTTTTTAAAAAAATATTATTTTAATATCAAATTTTTTCAAAAACTCAATAAGAATAAAGAGACCCTAATTTAATAATTTTAGAAAGACTTTTTTGTTTTTATAATAACATCACCCAAAACTGCACAAACAAATGCTTTAGAGGACGATCAATTTGACATCGAGAAAAATGGTGGCCGTGGCCCTTCTCGATCTCGAACAAGTTCTTCGCTCCAAGAAGGTTCGTGGATTCGTATCTTGATGCTCCTGCTACTCGCAATGTTGTTTTGCTGTTCCGAAGTACGGTGTTTCTTTCGATTTAGGTTTTCGCTTGTGTGTTGTGGTACACCTTCAATTCTGTTTTTTGGGTTGCCCGGGGGGGGGGGGGGGGGGTGAATACAGGTGAAGATCAATATTCACCGATTATTTTGTTGAAGTTTAATTGAATACAACTAATAAGCAGGAGAAATTATCACCTGAAGAAGCAAATATATTGCTGACATGGAGGGCAAAGGCTATGAGAGATCTTACTGTCGGGTCGGGCGGCGCTTCCGCTGTTACATGGCTAGGTATATACTGTGGGTTGTGCTGATAGTGGTTTTGGATGCTGAATTTTGAGTTTGAATGATACGCTTTTAGGTTTGTATTCTATGCAATAAAATTTGTTTGTCGTTTTATATAAAATTCAACTCGGGTATCTTGTTCTTGTTCTTCACACGAAATTTATTTGGATTGTTCCATTAACAGGCTCGCTTGAAGAATCTAAGAATGGTGATTTTAGAATGTCCTTGGAAATTAGTTGTTCTTGATTTCTTATCAAACTTTTTGGGTGGGATAGTTATTTAATTAGTACCGTCACTTCTTGGGAAGTTGTAATGCTGGATATGTGTGCAATGGTGCATCTCCCGGTGCAACTGTTATTTAACAGTAATGAGGTAGAGTACTAGGTTGGATTGAAGTCGACCAAACTTTGGAAAAAAAAACCCGAGCTCCAAATTGGCTTTATGCAGCTCAAACACTTTCAATTCCAATTGAGTAGCTTGGATGTTTTATATGCCTAATTTTTGAATACTTCGTCCAAATAATTGCTTTCTAGGGATGCAGAGATGACATATTCACAATATTACCTCTTCCTTTCATTATTTAATACGTTACATGTCTTCTATCTTTTGCTTGGATGTTTTCTTTTTCTTTTTTTTATTTTTTATGATCACTGTTCATCTTTTCTCTGTTCCCTGCTTGCAGCAACCCGAAGGCTAAACAACTTATTCCGCTTGAATGTTACAATCGGTAAATACCACTCTTTGGATTATATGCACTTTTCAGTTGCTTGTCTTTTTACTCTTACATTTAACTTTGTGCCTCCAGTTGTAGATCCTTTAGTAATAAATTTTGAATTCATGTTTGTATTTTGACTAGAGGAGCCTTTTTTGACCACTTCAGGAGCAACCGACCATGTTCATTATGGAAAAATAATGTGCCAATGAGATGCTATAATTATATTTATATATGAAAAAAAAAAAGAAAAAAAAAAGAGAATTCAAGATCTGGTGATATTATCCTGGGACTTCAAAAGTGGAGGAGTTTGAGTTTTATTATCGTTGCCATAGCAACTGATTAAAGGAATACCATTTCATAAGATATAAATGATGCATCCTTTATTTGAGGGGGTTATAATTTTTAAGTATCTGTATACAGTTTTTAGAATTCGAAGCTAAAGTTTATGGTAACTTGTGATAATCTAATTATGGGCAAGACCTCCAGTTCATTTTCATCTAATTTTTAAGTATCTGTATACATTTTTTAGAATTCGAAGCTAAAGTTTATGGTAACTGGTGATAATCTAATTATGGGCAAGACCTCCTGTTCATTTTCATCTCACATTTATTAATTTATTTATTGGTGCATAGTATAAACTTCTGTTGCTTGTTTTCTTTTGGTGAACTTTCGGGTATGCCTACTTATTTTCTGCCAGCTTCTGTCAACCATTGCACTTATTTAAATATTTGTATGGAAGATATTAATGGTAGGGTTTGGAAGTAGAATCATGTAATTGATATATTAAGTGGACCATTTGCATGGATGATTCTATTATATTATTATTGGTTTTATACATACTTGTAGGGGCTGCTGTTACTTGTGGACTCTGGAACCTTAGTAGGTCCGTCGAATCATCTGTTGAGCATATTCTTTCTTTGGAAGGAAGTCAGATACAGGGAGAATTGGCTAATATGTGAGTTCCTTAAATTCCTGACAATATGCTGGTTTTTTGGTTCGAGTAATATAAATAAATAAGTGTAAAATGATTCTAGTTGCCGTACGCTAAGAACACTGAAACTGAGTTTGAAATTCTTTTATGCACAAATTTTTCAATATTCCTGGAATTGCGGACTTATCTTGGTCTCTCATCTGTAGATTGTTGCAAAGATACCACAATTATCCATGGGTACTCCAAAATTTCTCAAAGCATTTTTACATGGAAGAAGTTTATGATGATTCATCAGTAGACCAGCCAATACGTAGGTGGCGTTTCCGAAATTTTTTTGGTGATCCTGCTACTCATTCTCGAAATACATCTTATAGTGAGGAAACTGATTCAAAGAATTATGCTGGCAAGATGACTTCAAATATGACAAGAACTAGGTCAAAGCTCAAGCTCGATAATGTGAGTGAATCTATTTGTACTATCTAAATGATATTCCTGTCATGGGAAGGAGAAGGAAAAGAAAGGAACGAATTAGCTATTGATGACTTTATTTTTTGTTTTTTTTAATCGGACTCCATCTCTAGTTTTGCTTTCTTGGTTTCCTTGCGAATTAGGTCAATGCTGTTGATGATGCTGCGGAAAGTCCATTTGATTTTGTTTTTGGCATTCCTGGGGGCCCAGAAACAGTTCCTAATTATAACACAGCGAACATGTCAGCTAGGAAGACACGGAAGGAGAAGCGTGCTCACCGCAGGCGTATGAGGCATCATCATCATCAAGACGAATTCAACCTATGAATTGAAATGCTGTACATCATCATCGTCAAAGGGAATTTGATGGATGGATTGAATTAACATGTTGGGCTTGCTTCCACATGAAAAGAATCCATGTGTGACTCCACCTTCATTCCTTCCTGATCTTCCATTAGTACTTGTGAGAAAAATAATATATCTGCCATTGAAAGTTGCATCTCTTGAAGTTGAAGTTATGAGTTTTTCAATTTTATGGATATTTTGTTGGTTAATCTAGAATCTACAAACCATACATGTTACATATAAATACGCTTTGTAAGAAATGAATGGCAGTAACGAAATGTGTAAATGTGTGTTTTTTTGGCTTTTGGTGAGGTTTTAGGATTATAGAGGCTTTTCAGGTTTGAGATGATGATTATGTTATACACATAGCACATACGTATATAAAGCTTGGATACTGATCGTAACTATACATATCATTCACGTCGACAAAATGTTGTACAATTTGTGACCATATATGTATCATTTGATTTGCCTATAAATGGGCATGCATGAATGTGCATGAGAAATAAATGAAAGTACAGTTTCTCCAACAGGCTCTTCTCTCTCTTTTTGGATTGCATTAATGGCTACGTAACATTATATATATATATATTATAGTGTATCGTATGAATAATTTTATTATACTGAACTCTATGCTATGAAGAATTATAGGGAAAAAATTCAAAATTAATCGACGTTTAACCACTTTTTGTTCTATCCTTGCTTATAATAGTAACAGATTGTGACGTAGCCTTTGATCTTGGACCAATACAACAGTGTTCAACAAAAACAAAACACAGCCGGTCGGTCCCAATCCTCCACACTTAATCATCTTTGTTCAGTTGTTTGGTCTCCACTCAGCCTTGCTTCGTTGCAGCTGTCGGGGTTCTCTACTGCTCCATTATCCAATCTGAAGTGCTCCCTCCGTCCCAAACACCCTGCAATAGTTTCTTTTTTTGTTTGGGTCAAATTCACTGCAATATTTTTAAATTTAGAAATAATTAATAATATATATATACATATATTAATATACATTTCAGTTTATCCCATCACATCCCTCAAATAAAAAAACAAATAATCATTTCTCTCTCCAATGACATCACTTAATATCCAAATTATCTCAAATTACCATACTTAATACTCCCCACCTAAATTCCCGTGCCAAACACAAATGTTGCACAGTGTTTGGAACGAAGGGAGTATAATTTAGGGGAAGGTTCAGCCGCTGACGATACCGGCAAATGTGAGGCGGCACCGACTCCGTCGGTTGTTTGCAATCAGTGACGGAACTTACCCTAAAAATTTAAAGGGGCAAAATGTCAATTTACTTTTTTTTTTTATTTAATATTGTCTTTTTGATTTTTCTCAACCGAATAAATTAGAAAAAAGGAAAAAAAATCGCTAAAAATTAAATTTTTAGAGAAATATTTTAAGAAAAATTAATAAAATTCAATAATTTCTACTAAAAAAAATTAAAACTTAAAAGTATAAATTAACAAAACTGCAAAAAATTTATTATTTTTTACACTGTAACACATAATAAAAAAAAATAAAAAAAAAATTGAAAAATAATGGGACAAATAATAAAAAAATACATAATTTTATCATTTCTTACACTAAATAAACCCTATATTGAGGGGTTGGGGTCAATTGCCCCCTAACCCCTGTGTAGTTCTGTCTCTGCTTGCAATGTCGGTTCGGACCCCACGGGCTACACGATTAAAAAGTGGGACGAAAAGAGGAGATAGTGGTTAGAGTAAAGACTAGTCCTTAGTTTTTATGGCCCATGTAAAAATAAAAGATGTGGTCGTATTTAACTATTTTATATATAAATTATTAAAAAATACTAATAATTTTTAATTATTTTAAAATATTTTTTATGTAGTTCTATCAGAAAAAAAAATATGTAATATTATTTTTTAATAAATATTATATCAATCAAAATAAATACTCCAAAATAATATAAAACTCCTTTGTGGTTTGCTGAAAATCTCATCTGGTTCTAAAATTCCAAAAAACTAACTTATAGTTTGTAAAACGTTGCAGAAAAACTCATTTCCGTTAGAACTTAACGGAGAGTGTCTCTCGCGCGCTTCAAATGCAATCTTTGGTTCAGAAAGTGATAAATCACTCTATAAAATTACTAAAATGACCTTCTAACTTTATGCACTATTCTCTCATTCTCCTTCTCCTCTCCTTCCCCTTCCCTCTCTCATTCCTCTTCTCTCTTCTATTCTTCCTCTTCTTTTATTCCTCCGTTCCAGCTCACCCCAATTCACATAATAGAAGAAATTTGAGCAAAATTTTAAACTAAATTTAAAGCACATCATGAGACTCGAATTGTTGCAACATAAACTCAACTTGAAAATCAAAAACTTCATAGGCAATAAAAACCTTATTCAGAATCGGGCGATGATATTATGTATGAAACAGGCATGTTTTTCTCAAAATTTCTCAGATTGGGTATGTTTTTTCTCAAGATTTGGGTTAAACTTCAAATTCCCCAAATTCAAATTGGTAAGGGTTTTAATCGAATTCAAATTAGTACAAAAATAATTAGATTCTATGATTTAGCTACTCGATCTATGAATCTAACAAACAAAATCGATAATCAATTTCCTAAATTGAAATGAAACTTTAAAAAATAGAGGTGAAAAAAATGGAGAAAAAAAAAAGAAGAAAGAAGAAGAAAATGAGGCAGGCAACGGAAGAAGATGAAAAAGAAAGAATATATATGTATCTGTGTATGTTTATGTGTAAAAAAAAGGAAGAAATGTGGGTGAAAAAAAAATGGAGAAGAAGAAAAAAGAAAAAAGACTAAAGAAAGAAGAATATATATATGTATGTGTGTATTTTTAGGTGTAAAAAAGGAAGATACAAAGGTGGAAAAAAAATGGAGAAGAAGAAGAAACAAGAAAGATAAAGAAAGTAGATGAGCAACAGTGTGTGTATATATGTTTGTGTATGTATGTATATTTATGTAAATGTATGTATGTATATATGATAAAAAATAAAATAAAACTTGGTCAAACTTAGAATAAATAGTCAAAAATAAAAAGAATTCAGGGATATAACGGTTAAACAATTAAAAAATTAACACCGTTAGTCCAATTTTTAAATGAGGGACGAGTGTGTAATATTTTGGAAATCACGAGTAGGTTTTATATAATTCTAAGACTATTGAGGGTTTTCAGCAAATTTTGAAAACCACATGGTGATTTTTTGCTATTTTGCCTAAAAAATTTAAGGCTAAATTGCACAAAATGTACCTGTGGTTTCATGAAATTGCGCCAAATCCCCCAGACTTTAAAAACTGCGTCAAACTCCCTCGTGGTTTCATAAACTCTGCGTCTAACCCCCTCGACACTCCTTATTTAATGGTATTTGACCTAAATGCGCCCAAACTGCGAATAAATTTTAAAATCTCAATTTCTAAACCCCTAAAATTATAAATATATTTATTTTTCTTATATTTAGCTTAAAAAACAGTAAAAATAAACTCTTGAGAAAAATAACTAATTTTGAGTATATTTACTATTTTTTTAAGGCTAAATATAAGAAAAATAAATATATTTGTAATTTTAGGGGTTTAGAAATTGAGATTCTAAAATTTATTCGCAGTTTGGGCGCATTTAGGTTAAATACCGTTAAATAAGGAGCGTCGAGGGGGTTAGACGTAGAGTTTATGAAACCACGAGGAAGTTTGACGCAGTTTTAGAAGTATAGGGGATTTGACGCAATTTCGTGAAACCACAGGTAAATTTTGTGCAATTTAGCCAAAATTTAAATTTAAATACAACCAAATAAATTTTAAGATAAATATTTTAATCTTATACATATTTTATGGAGTAATATTTATTTTATATAGACATATATATTTTTAATAAAAGGAATTCCAAAATGGTCCTAAAAATTTTGGGCCTAGGCGTGGGCCCAGGTTGCCCATGCCCATGGTCGGCCCTAGACTGGAGCAACACTTTCTTTCCTTGCTAGAGTTGAGAATCAAATTGTAATGGTGACCGGCTCCGACGCTATGCCAGAAACCTATCGGCGATCATCTATTTTTGTAGCTCTTCATGAACAAAGTTGATTTCTTCTGGCGCCATGACATCAACACTTTCTATAACCAAATTTTGCTCCACCTGAAAATGTTCTCTTTCTAGGCCAAAACCTCTGCCATGAACGGAGGAGGAATGGATCTAGTAGGTCATCTATACCACCACTATCATTGACCTCGTCGTTTTTCCCTTCCACATCCTAAATACGTCCAGAAAGCTTCTTAAACTATGTGCTGCAATCCATCTACAAAATGGTCAACTTTATCTCTCTTACATGAAAAGTAGTCAGAAAGGTACATCTCAAAATCATTGTACTTCACAAAATAACCCTCAACTAACATTGAGCCATGCTTTAAGTCCAATTGTTCTTGTTTTTTTACTTTTTGAACATACAATAGTATAAACCTAGCTTTTAATTTTACTTTAAAATCATCCCAAGTCATATCCACACGGTCTACACCCATAATTTTCTCTGCTAACCACCACTAATTTGTTCGGCCGTCCAAGAAATAGGCCTCAATATTAGCTCATTCATCTAGTGGAACTTGAACAACACAAAATACATTTTCCATATTCTCAACCCAAAACTTAAGAACTCCAGGCTCTATTGAACCAGAATATATTGGTAGATTACGCTGCATCACAACATCAATAAAACTTTGCTATTAAGGCATCATCGCACTCATAAACTGTCGGAAGAAATCTTGACTAGGTTTCTCTATTAGTACATGCTCTAGCACATGATATAGTGACTCATTAGACAAAGAATCTTGCTCTGGGCTTCGAATAGCCCAACGTATACTACCACCTCAAAAATTTGACATACTGCTCCCGACTTCCCTAATTCAACATCAACTCACCAATACAACTAAAACAAGTATAAAAATCAAAATATAAAAATACATAAACATGAATGTACCTACATAATCTAAACCTCACCAAAACCAATACAAGAACTATATCATCATTATCATTATTATTTTCAAAACAGTTTTTAATACAAAGAGCCAAAGTCTAACAAATATATGCTCTGATACCAACTTGTAACACCCCAAGTTGGTTCATACTAGAAATGTTCCCACTACACTGCATCATGAGGTCGTCACTTTCTACTTCGTGCCCCACAATACAATGTTAAAAAACTAAACTTAACTATAAAAATATCTTATTATTCCACAAACCGGTTTATGAATACTTACAAAAACACACTCCTAAATATAAAGTGTTTTTCAATTAGAAATTTATATATGATACATAAGAAAAAGT